TACTATATTTTCTTAGTTCACTTAATCTAGTATTCTTATTAGAATTTAATATGTATATAGTTGAGGCGCTATTTCACTACAAATTTATAATTACTGATACGACTTTTTTCTCTGAGTGCACTAATGAACAATAAACCCGCCGTATTCTCCAGCGCAACAATATATGACCGTATTTATAACAAAGAAAACATTAATAAAATATAAGACAATATATCAACGTTTTTCCGACGATTATATTTTTCATACCTGAATGTGAGATATACGATACCTTTGATCTAAGATGCTCTAATATTCCCGTCGATATTTCCAACCATGACGAAGAAGAAGGAGAAGCAGAAGAAGCTGTCGGATTTGAGATGATTTTTGTGGCTTTGGAGTGCCAAATGTGGAAAGTAGGAAAGAAGGAATTATTTATGTTCGAATAGTTTAGAGTGTTCTCTGTATTCGAATGCATGTGTCGTATCGATATATAGAAAATATACTGTGTTTCGATTGTTTGATATTTTCCAATCTACGCTCGCTTCTCGCGAATCGTTATTGGAGGTTTACAACCGCTTTTTTTCATTTTCACGTGTGATATATCTGTATTGTTGTAATCCATTCAAATTGTTACTGCACATGAATTCTTCGTACTTTTCAAGAAAGTTGCAGAAAATTAGTAATTAATTAAATTTATGATTTTTATATTCATATTTCTTCTGCATATACAATCTCATTGTTCTATAAAAATACACTTTATTTCATTGTAAGGCACGAAGAAATCATGGCCGTATATTTGTATGATAGGGGCGAAAACTTACGCCTTGGTGAATTTTTCAATACACCGCGGTAATCGTCACTTCGTTGCTTCACCGTTAGAGTCGTTTCTGTACGTGTTTCGCCAACGGAGCTCCTTGCAATCACTTCCACTTTTCCATGATCGTACTGTCTGGTCTTTGGTATATCCAAATGATACATGCCGTCGTACGTTAATTTATAGCGGGATCCCTGTGTGAAAAAAGGGACAAATTTAATATAATTACATTATAAATATATTTTTGCCAAAAGTACCGACATCACTTAATGTATTGCAAATGATATTTTGAAACTTACGTTGACTACCGTATGTCCATTGATTATCCACATAACTCGAGGTCTTGGGTGTCCAGTGACTCGACAACAGAATCTAGACCAATCGCCTTCTTCGACGATTACCGGTTCCGGTTTACTCACGAAAATAGGCGCCGAGCGTACTTTTTCTTGTTCTCCTTCCTCTTCGGGTACTCTGTAAGGTGCGTTTGATGTTTAAAATAATACATATTGGCATTTCATATTGTCACGGTGATTTTTCGCCATAATATAGACAAATAAATACTTGAAAAGAACAATTTTTTTTACTTTTGGAAAGTCTTTTTTCTTGGAAACAATGTCTCAAGATACGTATAAAATGGAAATAAATTTTGTGCATCTTATTAATTCTACCAGTCAAAGAAATTGTTTTTTTTATAAGTACACAAATAAAGCATAAAATAATATCTTACATTTGCCATGCTGCTTCCATTTCTCTGATTTTTTCGATGCTTTTCATGCCTTTTGGAAGTTGAGACTCATAGATAATTCCTGGTTTTCCTGCAGTTTTGATTATAGCTCTGGTCTCGTCCATTCCATAAAGATTCGTAGCTCTGCATAAATATTCGCCACTGTCTTCTGGATAAACCCAACCAAAGTTCATTGCTACGTAGCCAAAATCATAAATAGGCGTAAATCGATTCTTATGAGGTAACGGTTTCCCGTTAAAGAACCATTCGACCTTCATATTTGGATCACCCACAGGTGCCAATTGGCATTCGAACTTGGTACTATTCATTTCAACAAGATCAGTCTGATCTTGAATCTGCGTGACGAAACGAGGCGGTTGTTTTTTATCCGCATCATATAGATCGTCTTCAGTTAAATGAATTTCCGAAGTATATTTTTTAATTGTCGCTTCCATCTGCATCAAGGCCTCGGATTTTTTCATACCTTTTGGTACTTGATTTTGCAGAATAATGCTTGGTAATTCTGTGAAAAAAATATTTATTTGGTAAATCCTCTTTAATACAGCTAATTTAGCTTGAAAAATGAAAACTGATAAAAAATATCATAACATACTCTTGCAAGATACAGCAGCTCGAGTGGTATCTTCTCCAAGGTTATTGATAGCTTTACAAACATATTCACCAGAATCCTCAGGATAAACATATAAGATGTCCATAGACACAAATCCCATGTCGTAAACTGTTCTATATCTGTGCCCAGCAGGTATCAATTTACCATTTCTGTACCACTCGATATGTAGATTCGGGTCTTCTTTAGGCTCCACACGGCATTCGAATCTGACTGGTTCACCCTCATCGACGGTTGTCGATTGGATTTGCGTGATGAAATGAGGCGGTTGTTGCGGTGCTTCTTCCGCAGGAGCTTGAGAGACCGGTCCTCGTTCCAGTTCTTTTAGCTTTTCACCGCTCATTCCCATTGGCAATTGAGAATCAAAATCTATTGTTTTCTTGGCTATAAGAGGGAATGAAACAAGAAATTATTTCTGTTTTATACTATAATAGTTAAGATATAAAAGTATATCTACATTTTTTAAATTGAAATATGCAACTCTTACATTTACAAGTAATGGTAGCCTTGGTAGTAGCAGAGCCCCACTTGTTGGTAGCTCTGCAGACATATTCGCCGCTATCTCGTGCATATGTATACGACATATCCAATGATATAAATCCAAAATCATTAATTTGATGGACACGAGAACCTGTCGCGAAGGGCCGTCCATTGTGGAACCAATCAATACGCATAGTAGGATCACCCACAGGCTCGACTCTACAGTCGAAGTGACTCGGTCCAGCTTCTTCAACTTCAATATCTTTAAGTTCGACAACGAATTTCGGTGGATTCGGGGTTTCTTCCTCCGCTAAAATCTCATCTTTCTTATATAAGGACTCTTCCAATTTCTGAATGCTTTCTGTACCGGTTTTAAAATTATTCGGTAATTGAGGCTCCAGGATGATACCTTGACGTCCGCGAACTTGAAGTTTGCATGATACTGTGGCTTCACCATGACGATTGGTGGCTTTACAAGTATATAAGCCAGAATCGCGTTGATAGCAATTTGCAACTTCTAGAATGACGAAACCGAAGTCATGAATCGTTTTGACTCTACTACCAGCGAGAAGAGGCTTGCCGTTGTGGAACCATTCGACTCGCATGCTGGAATCGTTAATTGGCTGTAGTCGGCATTCGAAGTGAGCAAGAGAATTTTCAGTCAAAGTTAAGTCAGAAGGAGTCGTGATAAACTCTGGCGGTCTACCAATATCATCTTCGGGACTGATTTGACCCGAAGCAGCTCCAAGACCTTCCAACTCAGCAATCTTATCAATTGTACTCTCCATACCTTTGGGTAACTGAGATTCCAAAATAATACTACGTTTGCCCGTACACTTCATCGTGCACGTTGTCACTGCCTCACCGTAGTCATTTGTTGCTCTACAACTATATTCGCCAGAGTCTTCGGGGTATATAGGAGAAATTTCCAAAATGACGAAACCAAAATCGCAAAAAGTGCGGAAGCGAGATCCTGTTCGCAATGGTTTACCATTCCAAAACCATTCGACCTGTATCAAAGAGAACAATACAATGTTTAATAAAACATATACAGGGTGTCCAGCCCCACTCTTCCAATCTCCCACAGGAAGGTAGATGGGATCGAAATAAACATAAAAGTCCTTTACCGTTTAGCGATATCCGTAATAATAATCGAGATATTAAAGTTTGAAATTGTACTAATGAGAGCGCGCCTATAGAAAGAATAGAAACGGCTCCGGTCGCTCGAGGTATAGCCCGGCCCAGTTTGACAAACGATGGATGCGGCGGCAGGAGAGGCAAGAGGGGAAGCGCGCCGTTGCTTAGCGCTCGGCATCGTCGCTCACACGTCTCACCGCACCGCACCAAAGGATTCGCGCGATGGCTGTTACGCACATTCGCGATTTCATTACATATGTAATAATAACGATAAAAATTAATTAGATTTTCCGTAGATTTCCATAGGTTTCATCGCTTTCTCTCTTTCGACATTTTTATTCATCGAAGTTTATTATGGTTTGTATTTGTCCTATTTATTATTACATA